TTGGAATCGGAGAAAAGCAAAACCTGATGCTTCTACTTTTGACTCCACTGAGCCCAAGAGACTTGCCTGAGGGCATGAGAAGACTGGAAGAAAGATGGAAAGCTCAGAAAGTTCTCAAAATCAGGGAATAAAGTTGGCTAAAGCTCACAGTGGAGGACACCATTCCCTGAAGAGCCTCTGACAATCGAGGAGTAAAATGAGATTGAAGGATGACAGCCCAATGATCTGTGTAACCACAGGACAGAAAGGCACAAGCATAGCCATGTAGGATGACACACAAACATGACCACGTACAATGACACTGCCAGTCAGCTGCAGTCCTTGAATCTCTCCAAAGCTGCCCAGGGTGGTGCTGAGAGGACGTGTTCTGGCCAACCTAGCCAGATCATACTGAGCTCACACTGACCTACATCCACAGCCTCGATAGATTAGCTTTCCAAGTAACCGTGAGCTAATGTCAGCCTAGAAGCAAGTTATAAAAGTATGATATGCTCCGAGAGAGCTCGTACCCAGTAATGTAAGGGAATGTGGGGAGACTTACAATAGTACTGAAAAGTGCTTTCTCTTGCTGTGAGATCAGTAATAATGCTCCATTGGCAATCCTGACTAGCAGGAATTTGTGTCTTTTGTTAATCTTGACCATTCTGTGTAGACGTTTATCAGTTTTACTCATCATGTGAAGAAAAGGCTTGGGTTCCACTGTTTCCTCTATTATTTCTCTGCTTCTTGTTTTTTATTACATTTATTTAGGTACACACATGCCTTGATGCATGTGCAGAGGTCGGAGGATGACCTATGGGGTCCGTTCTCTCCTTCCACAACATGGCTCCTGGAGATGAAACTCAAGCCAGCAGACTTGGCAGCAAGCATCATCACCTGCAGAAGCATCTCACCAGCTCCTCTTATCTTTGTTATTTCTCTGCTTATTTTTGAGAGTAAGGCTTGATTACCTGCCCCCCCCCAGCTTCTCATTTTGTTTTATGGAGTTTCTAGTTGTTGTTGTTGTTGTTGTAGTCGTTGCTATTTTGTTGAGACAGTCTTACTCTGCAACCCAGGATGGTCTAGAAGTTGTGGTAATGCTCTATGCCACCCTACTGGGATTGTAGGCATGTGCCACCACACCCATCTTATCCCTTTCTAATGAAATAATCGAATGGTCCAGTTTTGTGTGCTATTGTAGCTAAAACTCACATGTTTTGATATGTGCTTTTATTTAGCTCAAAGTGACTTCTCTCATTCCGTTTACTCGAGGGTTATTTAGAATTGTGTCATTTTTATATTCTAGGTTTTTTGTTGTTTTTAATTTAATTCTTTAGTTGAATATACTTTGAATGCTCTACATACTCAATGTTTTTCAATTTTCTGAGCTTTGATGACCCATAATGTAGTTAGAATAGTGAAACTTGAAAAGAATACACACTATTCTGGCTTTAAGAAGTGGCATTCAGAATGCCAACTAAATCATGTTTCCTTGTCTTCTCTGATTTTTTTTCTTGTTCTACCACTTGAAAACCTGTATTATAAATGTAGAATTGTTCCTTTCAGTTGCATCAGTGTCTGTGGCTCAGTGCACTTCGAAGATCTAAGTAATTATTAACATAGCTACTCCAACCTTTTGATAAATGTTTGCATGCCCTTCTACTTATATCCTTTTAACTTTATAAAGATTATTTAATGGGTGTGGTATTTTGTCTGCATGTATGTGTGTGTATCACATGTGTCCAGGGCCCACAGATGCCAGAAGAGGACATCAGATTCTCTAGTACTGGAAATCCAGATGGTTGTGAACCACAATGTGGGTACTGGTAATTGACCCTGGTCCTCTGGATGAGCAACCAGTGCTCTCAACTGCTGAGCCATCTTCCAGCCCCAGCCCTTTAGACTTTTAATTTGTGAGTCTTAAACTTAAAGTGAGTTCATGTAAACAGCTTATGCTTATACTTTTTTTTGGCCAATAAGATAGTCTTTTGCTGCAAATAAAATTTAGACATTTGTAACTGATATAAATATCTAAGATTTAAATGTTTCTTTTTACCTTTTTTCCTGTCTTCTTTTAGAGTGTTATTTCAGTCCTACTGTTTGTATAATTATTCTATTTGTTATTAGAGATAATTCAAAACTTTACAATTTACACATTTATCACAATCAAGTACTAACATGCTATTTCATATAGTTTTTATTTTTAAAAAATTATTTTTCATTTTACATACCAACCCCAGTTCCCCTTTCCTTCCCTTCTCCCACCCCCTCCCATCTTCCCCATCCCCCATGCACTCTGCAAAGGGTGTCCCCTCCTCCTTCCCAGGGGAGTCAGCAGAGTCTGGCATACCAAGTTGAGGCAGGACCAAGCCCCTCTGCCTGTATCAAGGCTGAGCAAGTTATCCCACTACAGGGAGTGGGCTCCAAAAGTCCAGTTCACGGGGGGACTCTTGGATAGGTCCTGGTGCCACTGCCAAGGACCCCCACAGATCAAGTCACATAACTGTCACCCACATTCAGAGGGTGTAGTTCAGTCCCATGCAGGTTCCCCAGCTGTCAGTCCATAGTCCATGAGCTCCCTCTAGCTCCAGTCAGCTGTCTCTGTGGTTTTCCCCATCACACTCTTGACCCCCTTGCTCATATGATCCCTCCTCGCTCTCTTCAGCCGAAATCCAGGAGCTCAGCAGTGCCTGGCTGTGGGTCACTGCATCTGCTTCCATCAATTACTAGATGTAGGTTCTATGATGACAATTAGGGCAGTCACTAATCCTATTAAAGGGGAAGACCCATTCAGACACCCTCTCCACTATTGCTAGGAGTCTTAGCAGGGGTCATCCTTGTGAATTCCTGAGAATTTCTCTAGTACCAGGTTTCTCTCTAACTCCATAATGGCTCCCTCTGTCAAGATGTCTCTTTCATTGCTCTCCCCTTGGCTCCCCCAACTCGGACTTCTTGATCTCTCATGTTCCCTTCCCCTACCCCCTCCCTTCTGCCCTTTCCCAGTTTACCCAGGAGATCTTAACTATTTTCCCTTCCTATGTGTGTCCCTCTTACAATCTCCTTTTTTTACCCAGCTTCTCTGGGGCTGTGAATTATAGCCTGGTTATCCTTTGCTTTACATCCAATATCCACTTATATACAGTGAATATATACTGTGTCTTTCTGAGTCTGTGTGACGTCACTCAGTATGATTTCTTCTAGTTACATCCATTTGCCTCTAAATTTCAAGATGTCGTTTTTTCTACCACTGAGTAATACTCCACTGTGTAAATGTATCACATTTTCCTTATCGATTGTTTGGTTGATGAGCATCTAGGCTGTCTCCAAGTTCTGGCTATTACAAAATTAAAGCTGCTATGAACATAGTTGAGCAAATGTCCTTATGGTATGATTGTGCATCCTTTGGGTATATGCCTAGGAGTGATATTGCTGGGTCTTGAGGTAGATTGAGTCCCAATTTTCTGAGAAGCTGCCATACTGATTTCCAAAGTGGTTGTACAAATTTGCACTCCCACCAGTAATGGAGGAGTGTTCCCCTTACTCCATATCCTCTCCAGCATAAGCTATTATCAATGTTTTTCATCTTAGCCATTCTGTTAGGTATAAGATGGTATCTTAGAGTTGTTTTGATTTTCATTTCCCTAGTGGCTGAGGATGTCTAGTAATTCCTTAAATGCTTTTTGGCTAATTGAGTTTCTTCTGCTGAGAATTCTGTTTAGATCTGTAACCCATTTTTTCTCTAGATTTTTTATTTAAATTAGAAACAATCTTATTTTACACATCAATCCCAGTTTCCTCTCCCTCGCATCCTCCCATACCCCCCTAGCCCTCATCCCATCCCCCTTCTGTTCCCCAGGGAGGGTGAGGCCTTCCATGGGGATCATCAAAATCTGTCACATCATTTGGGGCAGGGCCTAGGCCCTCCCCCGTGTGTCTAGGCTGAGGGAGTATCCTTTTATGTGTAATGGGCTTCTAAAGTACATCTATACACTAATTATACCGCATTTTTAATTGTATTATTTGCTATTTTGGTGTCTAGGTTCTTGAATTCTTTATATATTTTGGAGATCAGCCCTGTCCGATGTGGGGTTGGTGCTTTACTGTCTTCTTACATGTCTTTTGATGAAAAAGTGTGCTGTCGTTACTTTTGTGCCTCTGACTGACTGTTTTAACTGTGGAGTTGTAAGACATGCTTCTTATGTCATTGTTTTCTTTATCTCTTCCCCTCACACTTTGTCCCAGTGGAGTTCCCTGGAATCAGTCTTGCCTTTAGCAGCCTTCACTTTTCATTGAGTCTAGCACCATCCGCACTGTGGCAAGGACTAAGCTCTAAGGTCATGTGTTAAGGTAGCTTACAGTGTAAGGTAGGGTACTTTTCCAGCATGTGGGAGGCCCTGAGTTGGATCTCTAGGGGGAGAAAGGAAGGAGAGAAGAGAGGGAAGAAGGGAGAAAGTGAAGGAGGAGGAGAAGGAAGAGAGGGAAGGGAAGATAGATAGGAAGAAGGAGGGGGTAGAAAGGACTTTTAATTATGATTGAAACACCAGTCATTCCCACCTTTCATGACATTCCTTCCTTCCTGCCATTTTCCTATTGTTAGGCAATTTTCAGTCTAGATTTAGTTTTCTTTGTCTAGAGAGTGTTGTATCTTTACTTGATAGACAACTGTGTTAATTGGGCATCACCTTGAGTCTCATATTATTTTCAGGCTTTGGCAGAGCTATATTGTCTCTCTTTGTAGAGGGAGTTTAGACTTACAGAGGCAAGACTCAGAGCCCAACTTACGTGTGGACTTTCTCTTTAACTAATGAAAATTCAAATGTCTCAGCTCTGAATAAGCTCCAAGCATCTGGCATTATGACCAACATGGATCAGGTGGCATCTTGAACCAGTAATCTGCTGTGAACAGATGATCTCTAAGGTGCTTTCTAAGTTGTAACCAGTGGCTTATCATTGTGTGTGTTCTGCCAACCACATTTCCGGTTTTATTAAAATCAAATATTCAACTATTAGCATCACCCACGTCGTGCCACCACCTTTATTTGTTTACGAGACAGACCATAAGATGATACTGGCCCATTACCCTTGACCTAGTCAACCCTTGACAGAAGACTTATTGATGCTATTTGGGATGCATTTCCTTGCTGCTTGGCACAGGTGGCTTTCTCATTGTTGCATAGACAGTGATGGGAACATCAGTTATTGTCAGGCAATGACTTCCAGGGCATCTTCGGAGTTGCCTGAATGAAAGGGCAAATGATATGTAGTTAAGACACTAAATAGGGAGTTATTTCCAAAGCAAAAAAAAAATTCACTATCTTTTCAACTGTTTCAAATCTGGACCTCTGAATGTCACAAAAATCAATAACACAGAGGTCCTGATGAGATTCTACGCTTACATAGCAAAGAAAACATGCCTATTGCTGTATATTTAATTATGAGAAATTCATAAAAATAAAATTAATACTCCAGTTGTTCATTTTCAGGGGTATACAATAATTACTAAGTGGCAAAAATGCATAAGTGATTATAGTATGGAAATTAATTCAGACATGAACCTTCAATCACGTTGGCTGAGTAATTTCAAACTAGGACATTTGTGGGGTGAAAGTTAGCAGACTAATGTTCAAATGTTGATAGAATCTCAGTTAAAATAACCCTTAAATGACATGAGTCCAAAATGTATTTAGTGACTCAGCAACTTTTCTGACACTTCCACCAAACAATCATCCTTGGATATTTTCACCAATTTCATCCATAAGTAACTCTAGCTCTTAAAGTACTGACCTTACTAAGCTCAACTCTGTGGTCCCAGAACTCTAATCCACTAACAGAATTAGCAGTGTATTATTTGCAGTTTTGCTATGGTAAAGAGCGGAGGAGTGAGACAAATCCTATTTATAATAGTTTGCTTCGATTTTGTAAAAGTGATTTCTCTCACAGTACTTTCACACTCTACTGTATTCTCAGCCAATGATCTAATACAAGTGACACTAAATCTGAAGTCTCTATCTCTTTTTACATTTGTAGTCTTGTACCTAGAACAATTCCCTACACATAGTTATACTGGTAATTTAATGTTGATCTTGAGAATATAGACACAATCTAGAAAAAATTTATGAAGATAGGGGAAGGATTAGTCTAGACTTACAAAGTTTCAAAATTATAGACTGTTAAATCTGGGCTCGTTAGTACTAATTTAATGACAGCAGTGTTTGAATCCCCAGGTTTAATTTTTCTTGTGAATATTAAATGTCAGAGTTCATGATGATAGGCAATACCCATAACCTCAGTTGTCAAAATGAGTGAACTTCACCTATTGGGTGACGTCTCTTTCCCGTTACAGGCAGCACTGGAGCTCAGGCCTGATTCTAGCCCAATCGAAGAATCTCCTCCTTCCACTGGAAACCTCCTTGGCTGGGTCCCAAACCGAAAAGGCATAATTCACTGAAATCCTAGGGTACAAAGTTAAAATAAAGATGGTGCTTATCTTCCAAGATAAGTTGACATTTTAATGCTATAATTTTGTTATATGTGTAAAAAAAACATTCAGAAGGAGACATCTGAAAAAAATCTATAAAATACTTTATTATACAAATATCCCTTATAAACAATTTAAACTCTTATAACAAATTCTAAATAACTCCAAGTAGTATAAGCTAACTATGCCCACTGTGGCTAGCCTGTGTTAACAGTGGTATCTCTACTGTGGAACAAGAAAAAATCAAATTGCCTTCCCACGATTACTGAAATCAACAAGCTTGAGTCTTCATTCTCTACCCTTCCATGCCACTACTGCAGGCTTTCTTTGAGTAGAATTTTATGCCTGTCTAGACACCTTTAGATAACCCTTTTGTTCCTGTAACCATTTAGTCCACCCACCCCATGTTACAGGGTGTTAGTTAAGCAAGCCTTGGGAGAGCTGGGTTGATGAGTTAACATTACATCCCAGCATCATGACCTTGGTGAAAACACTTGTCTATATTACCAAGGGCAATGATAATATCTGCTTTCAGGTAACAGGTTTAAAGGAGATAAATCATGTGAAATACAATGCCTGACACACAGTAAGAACTCAGTCAGTGGTAGCTATTATTCTTTAGTAGATGCTGAGCATTAGTAAACACACAGATAAATGGGAGACATTAAGTGTATTCAATACATGTACACAAATAAATTTATTATTGCCTATTTTTCCTGTCCCTGGAACTCTTTGCCTCCCACTACTCCCACCTTTTACTTGCTAGAGTGGATTCACTGACTAGATTTGAATTTACATTCCCTTTCTTAGAGAAAGAACTCTTCCATAACCATTATTGTCTAGGTCTTCATAGAACTCTCTCTTTTTGTTTTGTAACACCTATAATTTTGTAATTCGGGATTTCTCAACCAGGATGTTGTGGACACTTGAGATCATATGATTCTAAACTGGAGAAAGTTAGACTATCAAAGGCATTATAAATGGGAGAAAGTTAAATTGTCATAGGCATTGTAAAATGTTCTTCAGTATTCACCCACTAGATGTCAACAACAACCTTCTCCCAGTGTTTTGACATTTTAAAAAAGGAGGGAGGGAGGGAGGGAGAAAGAGAGAGAGAGAGAGAGAGAGAGAGAGAGAGAGAAGCAAAAATTCTCCCTATTGAGAAGCCCTGCCCTAATTATTTTTAGTAAATGTTTTAAATGTCCTCAACCATTCTTTGTTCATCTTTGTTACCATTTACTCCTTCATAGCTAGAAGTGTCTGGGCACACAATAGACATTTAATAATTCTATCTTTAGTAAATTTACATGTCTTCAAATATTAATACACCAGGGATAGGAAACATGAAAATGTCTTTAAAGTATTTCCTATGCCTAGTTTTCTATTTCTAATAAATAAGTATTTATTGGCAGTAATAACAAAACTAAATCATTAAGTTCTAAGAATTTGATTGGTAGACTGTGACCATTATCAAGAAAGGGGATTTTACTCAATGATGATCTTGTATAAACACAATCACCTGTGGTTTAATTAACTATCTATGTAATTTAGATAACATTAATCTTTGGCTACCATGCTTAAGGAAACATAGACTTACCAAAATAGGCCAAGTGTGATTCCTATAGAGGTGAATAAATCAATTGCTTCTACTGACTTTCCATAGAAGTCTAGACTTGCCAAAGGAATGTTGGTCAATGTTCCAGTGACACCAGAAATTATGACATCAGAAGATTCTTTCACATAGCTTCCTGCCTGCTAATGAATGAAGCATATCAGTTTGTGGCTTTGCTAACAAGATGAATGTTCAATAAAAACTAAGCATTTTAGAGTTGTGTTCTTGTCAGTGCCTTAATTTCAACATTACGTATCTTAATCTATGAGACATATAATTAATCAATCTGCATAAAATCACACTCCTGATTCTTCCCACCTTATTCACCATTTCCTCTTCCTCATTACCTCCCAGACTTCCTATGACAATCAACACCAAGTCATCCAGTCTGTCTGTCTACACCATCCTGCCACCTCAGAATCGTGAAACTCAGACCCAGGCTCCTGTGTCTCTGCCCTTGGTCTCAGCTAAAAGGCTCAGAAGAGATTCTGTATCTCTTCTTGCCTGGAATTCTTCATGTCCTGGGCCATTTCTTGTCATGCCTGGTCCACGTCATTTTCCAGTTTCATCCAGACAGCCTTGAAATCCCCAAATGGAGAGAATGACGGTTGCCAAGGGAAGGCTCCTTTTTGTACACTCTTGTTATTCTAGTTCCTTGTTCTGGAGTTTCTTTTCTGCTAATCCGATCCTTAGGACTCCTTCTTATCCCCCTGCCCCCGTTCTGGGCTTCTGTAGCCAGAGCTACTCCACTCAATGTCTGTCCCACTTTGAAGTGCTTTAGTTTAAGCCTTAAGTCAGGCAGTAATGTACATATCTACACATCTACATATGGTAACCACATGGTATGCTCAGTCCCCATCGCTGTGCTTCAGACTTTAAATTAAAGAAAACTGGTGTCTTATCTAGGAATGAAGTTTATGTTGGGTAAAAATCTTACCTCTATCTTCTTTCTCTTTCCAGGGTTATCTGTAAATATATGGATCACAATTTCATCTTAGAGAAAACTGAGTTTAACTTACTGTGTCACAGTCTTGCAACTGAAATAATTGCTGCCCATTGTTAGCTAACAAATGACTAACATCTAGTCAGTTTCTTAAGATGGCAAGAAAAAGTTTAAGTTGTGTTTGAGACAAGGTAACAGTGAAAAGATGATGGGTTTGGGCATCAAAACTGGGTATGAATTTTGACAAGATGTTAGCACTGAAATTCTAAGAAGATCACCAAAAGTTTATATGTAAAATAGCACTAAAACCACAAAGTAAAGTATCTTCAAGGCTATTATTCTTTAAGTCCTTTTAATACCATTGTAGTGGTTTATTTGTCACAGATTTTGTCGTTTTCTGCACAGGTGGTATAATGAAATCAGACAACAGACTTGCTCCAAATGTAACAGTTTTATTTTCTTTTTATTGCTTTAAGTACTTTCCAGGCTTTCTTGGTTTTCATTTTTTCCAGTGAGAAGTTTGATATGGCCAGATGTGCTGGCACACACCTTTAATCCCAGCACTTAGGAGGCAGAGGCAGTCAGGTCTCTTGAGTCCAAGGCCAGCCTGATCTACATAGTGAGTTCCAGGACAACAAAGGCTGTATAATCAGACTATCTCTAAAGGAGGGGGATGAGCTCAGATATTATTCTTTTTATCTCTTGTTTACTCATGCTCTTGTTTACTAATCTTTTCATTTGTGGCCCTCCCTTGGTCTGTTTTAACTGATTAATTTTTTTCCTAGTTATAGACGTCATCTTTGCATACTGGGAAGTATTACCAGACAATGAAAATTTTACATTGATGAATAATTTTACTTTTAGTCTTCCAAGTCCTTTTAGATTTTTGTCCGGAACACAGAAACACAGCTTCTGGAAAATTGGTTTTATGTTTTCTTAAACTACATCATGAGAGTCTTTCATTAGGACTAATCTGTCTCTGCTACTTAATGATCTATGGATTATAAGAAGCCTTTACATAAGATGTTGTGGGTGTGAACTGGACCCAACCATGTAAATTAATGTGCTCTATGGAATACTAATTGGCATTTTAAAAACAGAAGCCATCCTGAGTTGGGGATGTAGTTTTGTGGTAGAGCATTTGCCTGGCGTGCACAAGGCCCTGGGCTCAATTCCAGTACTGCAAGGAGAGAAGGAAAGAAGAAAATCCTGTCATTCACAACAACATGCAGGAGCCTCTCGAAGACAGCATGTTAAATGAAATGCGCCAGGCACAGCGAGACATACACTACATGTCTCACTTATGTGTGAGAGCTAAAGGGTTAAGGAGGAGGGTAAAATGGTGGTTATCAGAAAGGGAAGAGATGGGGAGTAAAGGCATCTTCAAAGGGCATAAAGTTTTAGTAGGTTGAAAAGAAATATTAGAAATCTACGGAATAGCATAATGATTACATAATGTGTTCTAACTTAAAAGTTGATAATCAATTTCAAGTATTCTCATTATAAAAAGGGTAAGTATATGAGGTAAAACATGTGAATTTTATCATCCCAAAATACAAACATATAGCAACTATATCCAGTAAATGTGTACAATTATTATTCATCGATTTCAAATAAACCAGCAATAGACCAAATAATGGCAGCCCATCAGCCTAGGTAACACCCTAGACAACCCTGAGTGACATTTGTTGTATGCAGAAGATGAACATTTATTCTTAGATACCACTGAAATGTTAAGGCTGATTGTGTCTCCAGTATTACAAAGTTTATCCTAGTTTGTCCAGACTTAGGTCCAAACTTAGGTACTACTACAAACCACTTCACATTACTCATTAGCAGGGTTGGCAATAGTCTGTTATTGAAAGTTTAAAGTATAGTGACCCATGTTGGTCATAGGAGAGGAAAAGTCTCCTTTTTGAGACAGGGTCTCACTGTGTAGCCTTGGCTGGCCTAGAATTCACTCTGTAGTTGCACACTTGTCTCAAACTCACAGAGATTCACCTGTCTACCTCCCAAACTGTACCCAGTCTAGAAAAAAAGTGTGAAAACTGTAATTACCTGTAATTCAGATCATTGAGCTAAGGACTTAAGTGCAAAGAGAGACTGGAAGGCAATCTTACCAACTTGGTGTCTGCTACTGACTGTCAAGCTACGAGAGATGGATTCAGAAATGACGGTGTACAAGAATAAATGTGGATAGGTGACCACAAAATCAAATTGTACTTAAATGACAAATTGGAAAGCCATAGAAATAGAATTTCTTCTGAACATATTTTATTTGTCCTAACAACCCTGTAGAGGTTTTCCAGTGACACCCAGTACTAAATGTGTTAGATTGTGGCTTCTTAAACTGTGGGGTCATGTAACCAAAGGAAATATTTGACAACCATCAACGGTTTCTGAACACACAACACTCAGAAATTGATTAAAGATAAGAAATATAATGAATCTGTCCTGTGTCTGGCAGTGCTTGCCTGTCTTGAACCATGGAATCTCACCGCAGCCGTGGTTCTGAGCACGCACTACCGACGCCATCAAGACACACAACACCAGAAACACCTTGGCTCAGGTTTGAGACTGGAGGTTATTAATTGCAGTGTCTGTATGGTATGTGCAAAATTTCCTGCTTCTTATAGAAACACAGTGGTTTCATTATACAGAACAATGACTCTTAATATTTTCCTACTTTCATCCCTCAGCATGTATCAAATAAGTCTATTTTTGGATTGAAACTATGTCAGAATGTTTGACTTCTAAAACTGATGTTTCGGTCACTGACTTTAGTTTCATTTTTTGAAAGTAATTAATTGAATTTTGCCTTGGGATTGGGCTAGAATGTCTAACAATGGATGCAACACTACAGATGAATATAAAGATATGCCTGTTATGGAGCAGTCAAAGCAGCCTAATTGGTTTTTCTTCATCCCACTCCTTATTTCTTTCCCAGAAACCCAAAGGATTATTTGTTCTGAAAACTGAATAACTTAACCAAAATATAGTTATTGATGTTGGTTGCACTATAGAAATACTGCAGAATACGATGTATCCTTTTGATCTGTTTTTCATTGTTTTATATCATTAAGCATATTTTCCCTTGTGTAGTCTGTGTTCTCTACTTCAGGGGTATTTACTAATCTTTTTTAAAGATTTATTTATTTTATGTATGAGTGCTCTATCTGTATGTCTGACTTTATGCCAGAAGATGACATCATAGCCCGCTACAGATGGTTATGAGCCACCATGTGGGTGCTGGGAATTGAACTCAGGACCTCTGGAAAAGCAGCCAGTGTTCTTAACCACCAAGCCATCTCTCCAGCCCCGGTATTTACTAATCTTATGCTGAGCCATCTTGCCTCCCCCATGAATATTATTTTAATAGCTTCAAAAATGTCACCTTTCCCTCAGCATTCTGTGATTACTTCAAGCCTTTTCTCTGTATCAATAATTTGATTTCATCCCTCCAGTCTGCTTTTTCCATGATTTTAAAACTTGTCCATTAACCCTTAAAGGTGGTTTTGACTCTAATTGGTTTCCTTGTTTCCTTTATCTCAATCAGCCTGTATTTTTCAACACACTACTTTAGTAACTGGTTACTCTGTTCTTACATTGTTCCACAGTGCAGCTTACTTAGTAAATGCTCTTTCCTCCTCCTGAGGTTAGATTTTATCTCATATCCGGTGCCTCGCCCATCTTAACATGTTATCTTCCTTCCTCTCTCCTTCTCTTTCATTTCCCTTTCCTTCCTTTTCCATCACCTATCGACATGACTATGGGTGACTTTCTTTTGCTGACATTTAACATGTAAAATCTTGCTGAATCTATTTCTTCTGTGTATTAATCACTTATTACTCTGATACAATTGCACCCCAAAACCTCAAAGACTTCATACAAAAAAAATCTTGCATGTATGACTGGAGATAACCTGCCCTTGAGCTGTTTCCATCTTGGCTAACCTAAATGTGCCTGCCCTAAAAGTCCTGGTGTGACTGGTGTAGAAGGCTCTACTTCACCTGGCGATTAAACAGACACATCTGATTCACTCCAGACTGACGTTACTGACGAAACTCGTAAGAACTTTTTTACAACTCCTTGCTGTTGTGTGACTTCTGGAGAATGACGGGAACTACAGCATGGGCAGAGCTCTGCAAAGGCCGGAACACCAAGTGAGTTGGCATCTTAATCTACCGACTCAACCTAATTACAGCACAACTTACACATTTGTCGAAGTTTCGCAAATTTTGGAAGCCCCTGATTTGAGGATTTCAACATTAAGGCCCAAAGAATCTCACTGTACCTTCACCACTGACTGTGTGCTTCCCAATAAACAAGTAAGAGTAAATGAAGCAACTTCAAACTTTTCTTGACTAAAATCGGCCCCTTCGTTACAAGAGATGTAACGAAAGTTGTAAAGTTCCAAAAATATGGAAAGGCCTCAGCAATATAAATAATCCACTACAACTTCAAACCGCATCTTTCAAAACTGTCTAATAACAACTATTATTTATATTGGTGGCAGAATAAGGTTGTAGTTAATGTCACAACACATTAAGAGCAAGTATAATTTAACTCTTGTTAAATCAAGACTAAAGGTTTTATGGTTTCTCAGAACTGTTGTGGAAAATATTAATTTCATTAAAGTACTAGAGTTGCTGAGGATTTGTGTCTCTGTGTGTGTGGAAGCAAGATGTAAACATGAAGTGTTTTCCTTAGTCATTCTTCATCTTGCTTGTTAAAGACATTGTTTCCCATTGAACGTGGAGTTCACAGATTCAGCTGTACTCCAGGGGTCCTCCCTTTTCCACCCTTCCAAGCCCAGGGGTATGGGCTCCTGGTTTCTTTGTAAGTGCGGGAGATCTGCATTGAGGACCCCATACTTGTGGCAGGAATTTTATTGACTGGGCCATCTCTCTAGCCTAAATTCTTAATTTAGTTCTTAATTTAAATCTTGTTTAATTTATTCAGTAAAAACTCAGTTTCTGGAAATAGCTGATTTTTTTCTAACTTTGCAATCCCCACTTTTTAAAAAAAATCCTGTCTATATAGTACATACATCAAATGCCATAACTTTGAAGCCATCTGTTTTGTTTTGTTTTTAAGATTTATTTATTGTGTATACAGTATTCCGTCTGCATGTATGCATGCAGGCCAGAAGAAGGCATCAGATTTCATTATGGATGGTCGTGAACCATCCTGTGGTTCTGGGAATTGAACTCAGGACCTCTGGAAGAGCAGCCAGTGCTCCTAATCTCTGAGCCATCTCTCCAGCCCCTGAGACCACCTGTTTCACTGAATATTTCTGCTCTCCTTGTCCGTGCCACATAGTATTTTAGGTCCTGTCCTTTGAGTACATTTGCGTATGTGTGTTCAAGTACACTGCTGGCTGTCTGAAGCTGGGTTTATGTCTTAATTGCTTTTGAATTCTCCCGAAACCTTAAAAGTTAGTTTGAGGTTGGCCTCTAAAAGCTGTGCCATATTTGGTCAGGTGTACCTAGCTCCAGCTGTTCCCGGAAAAGCCTGTTTGTCTGAGGTTTCTCCGAGCTCCTCGACGTTCGTTTTCTGTTAGATAACGACTCTAGGGCACCATCCCGAGGAATCTGACCCACGCCCTGGCTGTTAAGACTGTGAGCCTCTCACAGCCCGGGACCAGTCTTAAAGACCCTTATTTAAAATGCCACTCCGAAACCTAGTTACCCTTCAGTTACCGGGGCCTCCGGTGTCGCAGATGCCCAAGGATGTTGATAAGGCAGCTAGGATTTACCTGCCGGAGGCCCAGTCGCTATGGTAACGGCTAGCCGCAAATGCGCTTGCGCGGAAGCCCTGCTCCTGGCCGAAATCGGGGCTGAACGACACTGGGTACTTGCGGCAGCGACGTGACTTACGGCCACCCCTGGTCGCGCGTCGTTGGGCTTGAATGTGAGCGCGGGAGTGCAAGCGGGAGAGCGCCTGCTGGTCCGCCGGCCGGGATGACCCAGTCGGTGGTCGTACAGGGTGAGCTATGCCTCCCCCGTCCCCCGGGTCGCCGGGGAGCCCAGCCACCTGGTCATCTTGCTAATGTCCTCCTCTCTCTTCCTCGCCGCTGGCCGCAGTCGGGCAGTGCGGAAACCAGATCGGCTGCTGCTTCTGGGACCTGGCGCTGAGGGAGCACGCCGCGGTCAACCAGGTACCCGCTCGCCCTGAGCCTGACGCAGGGCCTGCCAGCAGAGAAGAGTTCCCCTGAGGTTTGGGGAGCGGTGCTGGTTTGGGTCTTGCTACGGAGCCCTGGCTGAACTGGAACTCTCTGTGTAGACCGCGCTGGTCTCGAACTTGCAGCGATATTTCATGCCCAGCTCACTTGAGCGATTTTATCTATACCACAAGTTGCATTTTTATGTGTGCCATACGGTGTGTTGCATGGAATCTTCTCATACGGAACGTAGCCTAGTTTCTTTTTAGACCCATGTTGCTGTAAGTCACAGGCAGAAGGCACTGGCAAAGAGTTTCCCTAATTCTCAGCGGTCTTGCTTTCTTTTTCTTTTAAGTTGTTTTTGAAAGCAGTAGGCGCTGTAGGTGAAAGTTCTATAAAATAGATAACACATCAAACGATCAATACCAAGAAATTCTCACTTGGTGTACCAGCTGTATAGTCCTATAGGGCATACTGTTTTCATCGCTCTCTCACATTTAATAAGGAGTTCTGTTGGTATGTTACTCTTTAAACGCAGATGAAAGAGCCTACCTAGGATTCTTTTTCTAAGAGCTATCCATCAGCCCTTTGACCGTTGTAGAATTACTAAAATTGAAAGGACTTCAGGGAAAATAAATGCTCTGTTCGCTTTGTTTCTAGAAAGGAATTTATGACGATGCAATAAGCAGCTTCTTCAGGAATGTGGATACCAGGTAAGGGGATGAGAGCCTGCCTCGCCATTGATTCCTTCCTGTCCTGTCAGCTTAAAGGGTCCCAGAAGCAGTCCTAGGCTGCCATGGTGTCTGCTGTTCTGATTGGAAGCCTAGTCTCATGGCCCATTTCATATCCGCCAAACAGCAGGCTTCCTTCGCAGGCTTCGGTGAAGAACCAAAAAGTATCTTTAAAGAGACTCCAGTACCTGTGAGGTGAAGCTTCAGGTGGAGAAACCTGCTGTTTTCAATGAGGGTGCCATGTCATGTGTTGAGGAATAGGGGAGGGAGGAGATTATTTTGCCTATTACTTGACCTTAGCGCAGTGTTTCTCAGTCTGTGGGTTGAGACCCCTTCGGGTCAAATGTTCCTTTCACAGGGGTCACATGTCAGATATCCTACTTATCAGGTATGTACATTGTGATTCATAACTAGCTGTTATCTTACCGGGAAACCTGCCTGGTCTTTGTTTTGTTGGTTGGTCCCAGAGCCTCATGTTTGGGCTCACACCTGTTCCAGTGCTCTCCGGTACAGTCAGATTAGTCAAATTTGAAGAAATGGGGGGTTAATGGAAATGGAAAGTCATTGTTAGTGGTGGACAGTATGAACTCTGGCCAGAGAGCCCTTTTGCGTCATAAGCACGTTTTGGGGAATAAAGCTACCAACGCTGTTAGTCAGAAGGTTATTTGGAGGCGTGGGGTCAGAATAAGGATTCAGGTGAATTTCCACAGTGGCAGGAAGAGCAGCTATTGTAGGGAGATGGCTGTCGTTTAGGCCGATTCTCTTATTTGCGGCCCGCAGTATCCTCTCTCAAACACTAGTTCTCAGACCTGCCTGTGTGGTCGTCCCTCGTCACGCTCCCCTGCTATCCTGCCTCCACACCTTCCTGTTTTGATAGCCGAACCTTCAGTTACTACAAGTCAAATGAAACGATAAGGAGACCATGGGAGGAGACGAGAGACGGCAGAGGTGGGGGCAGAGGCCACGCGTGACATGAAAACAGGAAGGAAGCTCTGCGGATAGGCAGGCACAGAACTGGGGAGAGAAACAACAAAAATTTGAGAAATGACATAATGAAACCAAGTTCTTTACAAGTTCATAAAATACAATGTATTACATAGCTGACAGCCTTGAGGTTGAGTTTTCTTTCTTAAGAAGGTTGTCGTGTAATTCTCATCTACCTTGTGGGGCATATGCTTTTCAATGAAAACATTCGTATTTCCTCTGTCTAGAGTTTGGAGAGGGGGGAAAGGCGTGGGCATCCTGCCCTTCCTTCTCTGCTGTTGGTACCAGCCTCTGTTCTGCAGGTTTAGTACCCAAAACTCCCTTTGAAAACTGCTAACACCTCTTTGTGTACACCTGCTTTCCAAATTAATCCTTTTTAATACCACGATAGAAATATACCAGTAGTAGAGGTTGGCATGAGAAACCAGATAGCAAATACTTGGACACTGTTGAGAGCATAAGGTCTTATTGCGGGCACTCATCTGCCTTCGTGGATAATAGGCAAATGAAAGAATGGGGTGGCTATATTTAAACAAATTTCTGTTTAACAAAACAGGCAGCTAATTGGAGTTGGCCTAGGAATTACGGTTCACTTACTATTGGCCTGTAGTATCTGTGTTTAAATAGCTCCTTATCTAGTCTCTGTCTGGTAAATTATATTGACCCATACACTATGCTTATTCATAGATTGTAGTGTTTTCACTAAAAATGCTAGAAATGCTTACATCAGAAAATCTAAAGGTAAAAAAAAAAGATACCCACTCACCTCACAACTGGAATCAGATGTTCTCAGTGCGGGGAAGTGCCTCAGAGACACAGATACGGAGGCAGGCAAGATGGCTCAGCAGGTCCAGGTCAGGGAGTTTGCTGCTGAGCGGAGGACTGGAGTCTGAGTTCCCTGGACCAGTATGACAGAAGGAGAGAGCTGCTTTACTGTGTAAATGAAAGCGAATACTGCCAGCCCTGGAAAATCTTATGACACATTCTCAATTTCTTTGTTTCAGAGTGGTCGGTGATGGTGGCAGTATTTCCAAAGGAAGAATATCTTCTTTAAAAGCGCGAGTAAGACACATCTGGGATCCTGGCTTTGTTACATGGCAGTACAATTTGAGTCAGTTGTTTCTCTGCAAGTTTGTTTTCCCTCTTGTTGGTGAGCCTGCTTTCTTACACTCTCCAGGACGACCTGCCCAGGCGTGGCACCACCGACAGTGAGCCGAGCCTTCCTGGTCTGTGAAGACATTTTTCTCAATTATGATTGATTCCCTCTTCCCCTTTATGTCTCTGTTTGTGTCAAGTAGACAAAAACCAATCAGCACAATCTTAAAATCGGAAGCATAGTTAATTAACAAATTGGCAGAATTTGCATGTGTGTAAATTGTAGCTCCATTGTAGTTAGCACTCTATAAACACGAACTTACAGTCAGTCTAGGTTTGGGTCTCGGCTGTACCACTTAATAGCCAAGTGCTTATACCATTATTTGAGGTGTCAGATTCCTTGTGTGTGAAATGAAAATGACAGCATTGTGTGGTTAGGTCAGTGTTTAAACAATGGCATGGACGAGCTGGAGCAAAAGGAGTTGCTATTTCAGATCAAGAATTTTTAGAATAACTAGACCCAGACACATCTTTATTCATCAAAATAGGGACCATTACAATCAACACATTTTTTTGCCAGTGAGAAGTAAGTTTGTTTTTCCTCTATTATAAATTCATGCTTTGCGGTTTGGCAATCTGTTGGAAAGCATTTTCTACATCTTTTTGGTTGGGGAAGTATTTTCCCTGCATAAAGATACCAGATACTAGAAGAAGCGGGGGATGGTTGACACATATGGTGGGAAAGGCAAAATGTAATAGCCCAGTTCGGTCAACTTTTGAAGTTGCGGCATGGCTGGGTTTATCATAGAAAAGAAGTGGACCATTTCTGCTGACCAAAGACAGCTTCAGCACTGCAGCCCCAGTGCATCCTGTGCTTAACTGTAATAGTTTCTCTGGGAATCAGAAAGATGTGGATGAGACCGCCAGCTGTCCAACAGCGGGGAGGGAGGGAGGGAGGGAGGGAGGGAGGGAGGGAGGGAGGGAGGGAGGGAGGGAGGGAGAGAGAGAGAGAGAGAGAGAGAGAGAGAGAGAGAGAGAGAGAGAGAGAGAGAGAGAGAGAGAGAGAGAGAGAGTGAGTGTATACACGCGCGCACGTGCTTGGGCAATCCTAAGTTTGGCTTTGGGACATGTTTTGAAACTTCTCAGTCCATGCCAGTTTAGAACGGTTTGTTGTTCTGTCTAGGGTTTAGGATGAGAGAGGAGAGTAGCTCACAACCACAGTTTGTTTCATTTTGAGCAGCTCATGAGGCGCCCAGTATTCAAGCTGATTCACCTTCCAGCTTGTTTTAAATGCTGAATGGCCAGCATGGTCCACTTTTAAGTCTTTGGCCAGTAAAGAAGAAAACCAGGAAAGGGAGCATATAGTCCATTTCTGCTCACATTTGCTGTCTCCTTTAATTTTATCGTTTATATTATTTCTAGTGTAGATTATCTCCCGAGTCAGTATAGTCAGGGTTAACGAATTTGACTTGTCCTCTTTAACATCTGCCCAGTGCCTTGACTTTAGAAGTTAACTCACTGAAACTGGACATTTGTTGGCTGTAATGGTTCCATTTTCTTCCTAACGAGTAAATGCATTAATACATCCTACATTTCTACTACTTTTTTTTTTCAAATTTCCGGCCAGGATTGCCTCATAGATTTCTTTTTTGGTTTTTTGTTTGTTTGTTTGTTTGTGTTTATTTTTGTTTTTTTTGCGAGACAGGCTTTCTCTTCATTGTTTTGAAGGCTGTCCTGGAACTCACTCTGTAGACCAGGCTGGCCTCAAACTCACAGAGATCCGCCTGCCTCTGCCTCCCCAGTGCTGGAATTAAAGGCATGTGCACCAACACCTGGCGCCTTCTAGATTTCTAAGACCCTGTGAAAAACACTTCAGCTGAAAGGATTATTGGGTTCCTTTGTCCTCCACTGGCCCCTTTTGGAGTAGAATTAAAGAGTTTAGGATCCACTTTTTAACTGGATTCCTTCTTTCTACAATGGATCAGGTTTTTTTTTTTTAATTCTTACAATAGATTACATAAAGGAAAAATTTAATTAACCTCCAATGGTGAAAAAGAACAATATAACTTGCAGCTCATGGATTCTTGAATTTATAATTACCTGAGAAAATATGCTCAAATTAACTTCTCTTTTCAGGCTGTTTTGATTGACATGGAAGAAGGAGTAGTGAATGAAATTCTCCAAGGACCACTGAGAGATGTGTTTGATAGCAAGCAGCTCATCACTGACATTTCTGGCTCAGGAAATAATTGGTGAGAACATACTGATGCCGTTTGAGAAAGTTGAATGTCCACTGCCCTACTCTAACAGGTCCTGCTGTGTGAAAGCAAAGAGCGATTTGCCACACAGAGGTCTCAGCCTCTCTGCTTCATCTTCTGATGATTAACTGATGCTGCTGCTGTATGATGCTCAGAAGCTGCCAGGATTTACTTTCACTCCTGCTGCTTTTTTAATAAAAAATCAATTATGAGAAATCGATATACTAAATTCTTAAGTTTTAAGTACTTTTTAAAACTATTCACTGATGTTATTTGATTCTTCCAATTTATTTGTCTGAATTAACAGAAGGATATAAGCCAAACCAGGATTCCCCTATCCAAGCTGACACAGGCTGCCTTAAGTATATGATCTCTTTACTGGGGAAAACCAGGCCCAACAGAATACACCCTGATTTGTTGTTGTGGTTTTGTTTAGAAACTAAGTTGCTTCACATTGTTTGTTCAGATGCACAGTTTATTAAAGCGTGATTTGAATTCCATGTGTCAGGAGACCAGGGACAGCCAGCCACGTAAGAAATGAGCCTCCCTGACCACCCGCCGAGCCTTCCTCTGGTGTGCATAACTCCTTATGTAATGCTTGCATGTGCTCAGCGGCATGTAATGGGACATATTTTTATCTTGTGTTGTATCATAGTGATACTCCAAGACTCTTCACTGTCATTTTCAACCTTTGCTCTTCCATCTAATAATGTGATGTGACCAGTTTTTCCCATTTTTAAACAAGATAAATTAGTTCGAAATTTTGCGTTTTGTTATCTGTTGAGTTAACCTCATTCTGCTCTTTAATGTGTGAATTGACTGTAGCTCAGAGTTTAGTTTAAATGGAAACAAAAGTTATAACTGAACTCTTATGTTTTTATAATTTATCTAGAGAAAATTTGAAAATGATTGAATCTGTGCTCTTATTTTCAGGGCTGTGGGTCACAAAGTGTTTGGCAGTCTTTACCGGGAACAGATTTTAGAGAAACTCCGGAAGTCAGCAGAGCACTGTGATTGCTTGCAGTGTTTTTTCGTCATACACTCCATGGGGGGAGGTAGGAGTCGCTCGTTTGCCTGTAATGAGTGGGAATTCAGTTGCTCACATAAGTCTTATTTTCAGACCTGATGCCTGCTAACCCTTTCCACATTGTCAGTTGACACAGTGTCAACCAGAGGGTTCCTGCTCAAGGACCACGCACAGAAAAGCAACCTCATGAGGCTTCACGTGTTGTCTTGGCCACAGTCATGGCTAACTAACCTAGGGTACTTGTGAACCATGATGTAGAGTATATATATGTGCTTCATAGTACATTTCAACTTTTCATCTTAACAATTCGTCAAGTAGGGTAAAATGCTTCTGCTACAAGCCTGAGTACCTGAGTTGGAGCCTCAGAACCCACATAAACAAGCTGGAGTGGTCTCTGGACAGCCAGCTCTAGGCCAATGGGAGACTATCCCAAGCAAAACGGTGGATGGCACTTGAATAATACCTGACATTGTCTTTGACTTGATATGCACACACAGGAGCAAGTGCACGCACATAAAAAATGTGAAGCTGTCACTATTAACCAGCGTTTCTTTTTTCAACTCTGAATTGTTGTCTCCACTTTCAGATCCTCTTGTAATAGTTCAAACTCACTCCAGTATGTATGCACTCTTGAGAAATGCCTGTTTGTTTCTGTACCCCAGGTGGAGTTGAGGTTTTTCCTGGCATATTCTTATGTTCTTGTCATTATGAGGATACTAACACTCTTTTATTAATCACCTTCAAACCTTCCCACACCTCTCTCCAATAAGAAAACTGAAGAGTAAAAGAAATGCTTTCCTTTCCTTAAGAGTCATTCATTTCACAGTATAATTGCTGAGCTTGAAGCATGATCTACATTGCTTTGTTTACCCAGATGAGTCTGTAATTTGGAATGGAAGTATTTTGCTCTCCTATCCATAAAACAGAAACAAGATAATATGCTAATTTTAAAATGATAATATTAACAAGGTTTGGAAGAAAAAATTAACATACTTTTCTTCCTAAAATTAAGATTAAGATGTTACATTCTGGGGCTTGCAAGATGACATTGTCACATACAGAGGTCCCAGTGAAGAACCAGGTAATAGAGTTACAGAAATAGATGGGTGAATGAATGAATGAATGAATGAATGAATGAACGAACAAATAAATAAATGTTTTGTGTCTTCAATCACTGGGTTTATGTTGGCTGCATATGGCCCGTGACTCATGTGATGGACACACCTGAGAGTTTTGGGCTCCACATTTTAACCATATATATATGATTCAGAAAACTACTTATCCATACTGCATCTGGCATCTGACACATTGCTTCTTTCTCATGTTTCAACTTAAAAACACTCTTACCAATTTCACTAGTGTCGTAGAACTAAGTTATAGGATCCACTTTTCTCCTTTAAGTTCTTTTGTATAAATGTGACTTTAAACATCAAAAGTTTTTCATGAGATGTCCAGAGTTTCTGCTTTTAAATAAGTAAGGATAACATGTTGTGTCTGAAACTTGGTAAGCAAGGTGGATATATTTTTTTGGGTATTTGAAGTTGCTTGAGGACATGATAGTTTTCTGTGTCATTGAGACAATGCATATCTTGAGACCAAAACTGTCAAAATATGGTTTTGGGGGTTTTTTGGTTGTTTTTGGTTTTGTTTTGTTTAAAGGTTTATTTTTTATGTGTACAGTGTTCTGTCTGCCAGAAGAGGGCACCAGATCTCATCATAGGTGGTTGTGAGCCACCATGTGGTTGCTGGGAATTGAACTCAGGACCTCTGGAAGAGCAGCTAGTGTTCTTAGCCTCTGAGCCATCTCTCCAGCCCTTTGTTTTGTTTTTTAAGTTGCTTGTTATCAGGAATAGTGGATGCTGTCTTAGTTAAATTTTTCATGTTCAGTTTGTTATCTAATGACTTAAATACAAAAAAAAAAAAAGATTAGAGAAAGCCGTCCCAGACTCGTGCTCAGAACCTGAGATGGAATTCTCCACTTGAATCCTGACAGCCTTGCCTGTGCTCTCTCTGAGTTGAAAACTGTGCCTACAAATAAAACACTCTGGGTTCTTCAGAGTTACACTTCAAACCATCTGTGTTGTTGTCGCCTCAAATTTTTAATTCTCAGGAACAGGGTCTGGACTCGGCACATTTCTGTTAAAGGTCCTGGAGGATGAATTCCCAGAAGTGTACAGATTTGTGACAGCCGTTTATCCTTCCAGTGAGGACGACGTCATCACCTCACCTTATAACAGCATGCTGGCCATGAAGGAATTGAACGAGCACGCAGACTGTGTGCTGCCCATTGACAACCAAGTAAGACATGGTAGTGGACTTGACAGACATTTTATATACATGTAATTCTGTCACATGCTTTCATTTTTGTTCAGTAGTCTCTTCAGTTTTTAACCTTCTCCATCTAAGAGAAAGAATAAGTTTGAATTATTTTTCTTTTCTTGCCTAGTAAAATATCATCTAAGTCATTCACTAATAGTTTCTTATCCAATATTTCTTTTTTCTCAAGTCTTTATTTGACATCATTAGCAAAATTGATCTTGTGGTAAATTCTGGAAAGTTGGGTACAACTGTGAAGCCTAAGAGTCTAGTTACTTCGAATATGGGGGCTGTTACAAAGCGCCACAAGAAGCCTTTTGATGCAATGAACAACATTGTGGCCAATCTGCTCCTCAGCCTGACAAGGTAACCCTCTTAGGACAGGACGCTGGCAAAGTCACTGTGCCTGTGTGATGTTTACATCTAATGGTGTTTTATTCCTTTGATTTGGGGACACTGCTAAATTCAGCCCTTAAACATGTTGAAACAAGCACTGAGCTACATACAGGCCCAACTCAGTCACGTTTATTTATTTTTTAAGGTTTATTATGTATATAGTCTTCTGCCTGAGTGTACACCTGCAGGCCAGCAGAGGGCACCAGATCTCATTATAGGTAGTTGTGAGCCACCATGTGGTTGTTGGGAATTGAACTCAGGACCTCTGGAAAAAGTCAGTGCTCTTAACCTCTGAGCCGTCTCTCCAGGCCTCCCTCCCCAGTCACATTTATTTAGTTGTTCTAAGTTGTAGAAGCTTCTTTATTGTTTTTCTGTCCAGATTTGTCTGACACTTTTTATTAGTTCTTTGAAAATTTCTTACAAGGTAATTTGGTCATACTCAGCCTCATAGCCCCATATTCTATCCAACTTTGTGTCTATGTTTTGTTCCCATCAAACCAATTTGTGGTGTTGTAATCTCACGTGTTGGAGTGATAACCCGCCTTTCTCTGAGGGTGTTACTTGGAACACTAGTGGGAGTTCTGTGATCAGCAGTCTCATGGTGGACAGGCTGCCACTGCTGTAACCCAGCTAACCTGTACATCTTTGTCACTGGATCCAAAACAATTCCGTGGCTAAATAGGATACTTTTACATGTATGATGAACAAGTGTAATAGAGGTTGCTTGCAGGCTAGAAATCTAGAAATAAGAATCGCTAGGCATTGTTGTATTTTAGCCTTCCATGTGACTGTTTATGATAGTAAATTTAGTGATTCAGAAACAAAGGCTCCATTCTGCTCTGATCGGTGTAACAAAGAATCTGAAAAAATGACCTGCTGAATTACTATTTTAAATAAAAATACTCTTTGTTGTAATGCTGACCTTTTAGCTCTGCAAGATTTGAAGGATCCCTGAATATGGACTTGAATGAGATCAGCATGAACTTGGTTCCTTTCCCTCAACTTCACTATCTGGTGTCAAGCCTTACACCTCTGTACACTCTGGCAGATGTTAACATCCCCCCTCGAAGGTAAGGTAGAACTGGGTTTCATTTCCTGAGAACTTGAAGTGAAATTTCTGTAAAAAAAAAAAAAGTTTATATTAACAGGTTATTTATATCATTTTATTGCTGAGAATCATATAAAATGTAGTTAATGGCAGTCATTTTTCATTAGGCAAATATTTATTTAGAAGTAAGTTGTTTTAAAATGTCAGTATTACACTGAAACTAAACCTGGTAACTAGATTTCTAGACTTTTGAAAATTAATAGAATCTGGCAGACTTAAACCCTGATTCTGTTGCCAACTGTAGGATCTTGAGCAAATGTCTTAAATTTCATCTTATGTCGCGCCCACCTCGACCAGCAAGGAAGACGCAACACTCGGACTCTTCTCCACGCAGTTTATTCAGGAACCTTGATGAACAATCTTTTTCTTTTTGGGGAAAGCCAGCCCACAGCTTATATGGCCTAGGCATAGCCAACCCCAGCACGCCACTTGGCGACAGCAGATAGGTCCACATACAAGGAAGCAAGCCTGATATCCAGCCTTGACCAAATAAGGAGTTGTTTATCACAGAGAGCACTCACCGTCGGGAGGGTGGTAGGCGAAAGCCCGCACCATCTTTAATGTGCGGCATGTCGCAGCTCTCCACAATCTTACTCTTTGTGGGTACATGAAATGATGTTTTAAAGTTCTTACCACAGCAAAGCACCATAGAAGGCCTTTATATGGTATCATTTTCAGACCACCTTGAAGATGCTTTAGAGCCAGACATGGTAACACTCGCCTTTGATCCCAGATCTCAGAAGGTAAAGACAGGCAGATCTGTAACGTGTAATTTTCCCTCCAGCCGCCGCCATTTGTTGTGGGATTCCCACCTGGGTCCCATCGCCGTTTTAGCCCCCAAAAAACACAGGACACTATATTAATTATAAAGCTGTTGTCCGTTTGCTTTTGTTTCTCATCAGCTAGCTCTGACTTAATTATTAACCCAAACCACTAATCTGAGTATTTCCATGTGGTCTTCTCTTAACGGAGAAAGGGGTTCAGACCTCTTCTCCAGCGTCCTACATCGGGACTGACTGTGACTCTCTCCCAGAATCCTCCTTGACTTCTAGTCCCACCTATCTTGCTTCCCTATTGGCCAACAGTGCTTTATTTAATCAGCCATTAAGACAAGCACATATACACAGAAGGACTTCCCCCATCGCAGATCTCTGTGAGTTTGAGGCCAGCCTGGTCTACGTAGCAAGTGGTGTGCCAGGTCTACATGGCGAGCTCCTGTACCCCCCCAAAAAAATTTTTTTAAAGGAAAAAATGTTTTTAAGCTGGGCACACCTATAATACCAGCACTTGGGGGTAGTACATTCATGGATCGCAGGCCAGTGTGGGAGAATACAGTGAGCCTCAAAAATACAAAAAAAAAAAATGGCTGGGATGTCACCCAGAACCCACATGATGGCTCACAACTCACTGTAACTCCAGTTCCAGGGGTTCTGATGTCCCCTTCTGGTCTCCAAGATCACCAGGTTTACATGTGGTGCACAGACAAACACACGCATTGCTATTTTGATTACATCTTTAAATTTTTATTGTGTGTGTGCTACGGTGTTTGAAGAGCAGAGAGCAACTGTGGAATTCACTTCTCTCCATCATGGGGGTCCCAGGAATTGAGCCCCAGGTGCCAGGCTTGATAGCAGCACCTTAATCTGCTGGGCCATCTTGTGGGCCATAGGGTTTTATTGTTGTTTTAAGATTTTGTTGTAGTTAAGTGTATGTTGTGGGTGTGTGTGAGCATGAGTACAGGTGTCTGCAGAGGCAGAGGCAACAGATCCTCCTGGAGGTGTTCTGTGAGTTGCTCTGTGTGGGTACAGGGAATTGAACTCAGGGCCTCTGCAGAAAAATGCATGCTTCTAACCACAGAGCCATCTCACTGGCCCTCAAAAATTCTTTTTTACAGTTAAAGTTTTGTTAAAGTAAGGGATATTACAAGTGATGTTAATAAACTTTATTTAAGCAAATTAAATAAAGTTGTGCCAGCCAGTAGCTAGGACCGTTATCTGCCAGGAATCCTATAATGATCTCAGCAGGGGAAGCGGTGTATGGATCATGACCGCTGACTGTTCCTGGATCATCAGCACTTAGGTGTTTAAGAAGCATTAGCACTTTAATGTGGACACACCTAATGTGAATTGGCAGTAAACTTCTGCCCCATTCTTTCGAGACAGAGTTTCTCTTTGTGGACTTGGCTGTCCTGGAACTCGCTCTGTAGACCAGGCTGTCCTGGAACTCGCTCTGTAGACCAGGCTGGCCTGGAACTCGCTCTGTAGACCAGGCTGGCCCGGAACTCACAGAGATCTGCCTGCATCTGCCTCTGCCTTCTGAGCGCCGGGATTATTAAAGGTGTGTGCCACCACACCCAGCAATAATAAACTATTATGTAGTGTAATACATAATAGTTAATCTTTATGTAGGTTCAACATAATGAAAAAGGAACATGTTTGACTTGGTCCTCTAACTTAAATGAAATATTCTGTAAACTGCTTGGTATATTTTTATATAAATAATGCTTATATCAACATTTTAATTTTAATCATGATAGTTTGTGGTGCAGCCACATTTCACTAAAGTGTTTTAGTAAAAATCCATAAGAACCTTTTAAAATGTTATTAATTCATCGTGGTGTCCTTTTCTATTGTTAAGGGTTTAATGCACTTATTTTTTGGTTTTCTACATCTGCTCTACTATAGATAACCCAGAGGCTGTCATATCAGTGTATGCTTTCATTATACGATTATGTTTAGAAGAAACAGATACATTTTGTGTAAGCAGTGGCACTTTCCTGTTGTAGATTGGACCAGATGTTTTCTGATGCCTTCAGTAAAGATCACCAACTCATGCAAGCCGATCCCAGACACAGTCTGTACCTCGCCTGTGCCCTCATCGTTAGAGGAGATGTACAGATTTCAGATCTTCGCAGAAATATTGAAAGGTTTGGCTTTTATTTTTAAGATAATTCACGTGCACAGTTTGGGACACTGTGATGCATAGTGGTTAAGAAAGTCTTTGTTCAAATTACAGTAAAATGTGACTCTAGGTAAGTGGCTCTTTAAGTACAAAGCCTTGTTTTTGTAAGCACTGGATAAAATATAAGATGCCTCACCATACTGTCACGTGATGCTGCCAGTTTTAAAGACAGATGGCAGATTCCAAACAACAGTTAGACTGTTGCTTCTGCTAATGTCCTTGTTTTGCCTTTGTGGACTGAGCTGCTGTAACGTGGCATTTTTAGTACCTTCGTTCTTACCTTAGGGTTTTTGTGTCTCAGATTAAAACCTGCTCTGCAATTTGTCTCCTGGAATCAAGAAGGCTGGAAGACTAGCCTGTGTTCGGTACCGCCTGTGGGTCACTCCCATTCATTATTAGCTTTAGCCAACAACACGTGTGTGAAGCCCACCTTCATGGAACTGAGAGAGAGGTTCATGAGGCTCTACAAGAAGAAGGTACTTACACCTCTGTAACTGCACTTACTTTGTAAGATGTATTGGAAGTCAGGGCTGAAGTGCAGCGTGTCTGTTACACTAGTAGTAAGCAAAGAGAAGGCCACCTATGCTATTTTGTATCTAAGTGAGACACTCCATGCATTGATAGGATTTAGGCAATATACTAATTTTGTTTAAAAGAAATCACTTATTCAGCAATTTCACAAATGTGTGTAATGTATTCTGATTATATCCCCACACTGCCCTTAACCCGTTCTTCACTTCCCAACAAGTCCTCCCTGGTGACACCCTGAGTTTGACTAGGGTTGCTTGCATGAGCAGAGTGTGGGCATGGACAGCTTACCAGTGGCTGCATCACTGAGCAAGAATGACTCCCCCCGCCCCAGCAAACATTAACTGCCAGTAGCACTGCATTAGGGGTGGGGCCTCATGAGCCTCTCCCCAGCCCAGGTTACACTGTTGGCAGGCTTAATCTTATGCAGTTAACCGCAGCCACCGGAGTTCATGAGCACGGTGGCCATGCCACATCCAGAATACAGTCTCACATCACTCTTTCCCATATTCTGGCTTATGTCTTTCACACTGCCGTCTGTCTTTCTCACTGTGTGCCCTGAGCCTTGGTGAGGCCAGGGTGTCGGGGGGAAGGGATTCCCCAGATGTCCCATTTATAGCTGAGTACTCAATAGCCAATTATTCTTCCCATTTGGACAAGTTATGAGTCCCTGCACTGTCCACTGGAAGGGAAAAAAAAAAAAAACCTTTGTGACCAGTATTGAAAGCAGCATATTCTATGGATATAAATATAAATGGACAGTTTTACAACGTTTCCATTTAGCAAAACAATGGGGAAGATGGTCCCTTACATCCGGTGACCTCCTCAGTCTTGGACCTGGGTTACAGCTCCGGTGAGGGAGCCTCAAGTCCCATCAAAATCAGTTGGTTACCCCATCCAGTCATGCCGCTCTGGTACTAGTGGACACATCTTCATGCACTACATTAAGTCCTGCTTCCTGATCAGAGCTTAAGACACTATGCCGTTTTTTATTTAATCTTTCGCTATTTCCTACATGTATAGTACCTACTTTGATCACATTTCCCCATTATTCTCTCCCCATTATTCTCTCCTATTTCCTTCCAGCTGAACCCCTTCTGCTTCTCAGTCTCCCTCCTCTGTGTGTGTGTGTGTGTGTGTGTGTGTGTGTGTGTGTGTTTCCCCTACTGTAATTAAAATAGGGTTCCTTGATGAACATGGAGGGGGGGGGCTTTTACTTAAGCAAGGCTACTTACTTAAGTTCACCAGCAACCATTAACTGCCTATAGTTCCCAAGGAGGGATGGGTGCGTGACCTATATTTTAACAGTATTTGCTTTATGGGGTAGTTGTGTGTCTGAAGTTCCTGAGATGACAATGTTGTAATTTTTCGGTTACAGGCTCATCTCCATCACTATCTGCAAGTCGACGGGATGGAGGAAAGTGCTTTTGCAGAAGCTGTGTCCTCTCTGTCAGCACTCATACAGGAGTATAATGAACTTGATGCCACCAAAAGCATGCCTGTGCCAGATGTGCCTAGGCTAAGCGTGGCCATGTGAAGGAAGAAGCTAAAAATACATTGTTACTTTTTTCTGATTCACATTAATTTTTCCCCCTTTGTCTTCCAGCATTTCCTGTGATTCAGAAAGCCCAATTTATTTTTCACAGTATGAAACAATGGTTTCTATTTTGTTATAATTTTTCTGTACCAGTATGTGGGGTCACCTCTAACATCTTGTCAAAATTAAGAGGGCCTGGCATGGTCGTTCATACATGTAATCCCAGTGTGTCTGACATGCAGGAGGACTGTGTTCAGGGCCAGTCTAGACTGGGCAGTGAGAGCCAATGTAGGGTGAAAGAGTAGTTCTTCATCACTTTGCTTTATTTGTAGCTTCCTTTGCAGACTGTCTCACTCTGGTAATTGCCTCAGGAAGACTGTATGTATCCTTTTATGTTTATACGTTATGTCTTCATGCTGTTTACATGCTGGAAAAGGAGGGCCTAGGAATGGAAGAATGCAGTGTGTGTAATGTCTGTGGGCTTTGGGGCGTAGTTTTTATTAAAGATGCTAAGACTGTTTTGTTCTTTGAGTAAGAACATGTTTATACTCAAGGCATCACAACTTAGACGTCCAATCCTTTTAAAATGAATGGTTTAAAGACAGATGTTTAAACAGTGCTACTTATCATTGCTTATCATATCACCGTTTGCACATTGAAAAAACATGGCTAAGCTTGGCATCTTCATCTGGATTTTGTAGTAAATGGTTATTGCTTACTGAAATTATTTCAGTCTACATAATCTTTTGAATTTTTAAATGTTGTTTTTAGTCACAACTTATGTTTCAGATCCATTGGTTGGTTTATCCTTCAAGGAAATAATTTTGGGGGAAAAATTCTTTTCGAGAAAAAATGATCTGTTGTATGCTTTGTTTATTAATATTTATGTTTCTTTCCTTTGCTAAGTAATTGTTCTCTTTTTGGTTTTTATATTGATAGTTTAGTTTTTATAGTATTTTGTTAAGGGAAGCTTTTTCTTGCTTGCCGATTTGGTATATTCCCCGCCAGTCGCCTGGGCTCTGCCGCTCCAGCCTGGTTCTAGAGCCGCATGAGTCCCAAATAAACACACAGGAGGCTATATTCATTATGAAGCTGTTGGCCTTGCTTGTCTCTTACTGGCTAGCTCTGCTTTAAGTAATTACCCCATAATTGTTAATCTAAGTATGTCTCTTACCGGAGAATAGTTCCCGGCTTCCTACCCCATGCGGTTACATCTCGAACTCTCTTGTCTTTTTCTTTCCCAGAATCCTCCTCGACTCCTAGTCCCTCCTATCTAGGTTTTCTATAGGCTCAACAGTACTTTATTGACAAATAACAGGACTTCCCCAACAGTATTTGATATAAAACTGCAATATTACAGTTATTAACAGTAGTCCCAGACGTTCCGTTTTCTCCTTCCTAGAAGAATCTTAACTGATACTGAGAACATGGCAATGAAACTTATAGTTATAGCATCTTATTTTTAAGAATCTTGCTTTCCCACTAATTATCATGTAATAGGATCTGATAGACTGCATTGCCAAGTACAGAATAAAATTTTAAATTATGTCTTTTTATATCTATATAAAATATTTTCTTGTAAATTGTATTTTTATTATATATGGAATCATTATATGGTACCATGTATGTATATATTATATAATTATAGGATATGCTCAGGAAATGAGTTGTATTTAAATTTTTTCAGTCATTCCTTTTTGTTTTATTAGAATATTTTTTAGAAACTTGTGATATCAAAAATAAAGCAACCAAAGAATGACTAGTGGTTCTTTCTGTTTTAAATCCATTAAATAAACTTTTACCCTTTTATAGCTACTTTAGTTTTTTGATTATGTGATGTGAATGACTTAGCCTTAAACTTTCCCCTGTGTGTTTGACTCTATAGAAGCCTGAGCTCAGAAAATGTATCTCCTGGTTCTCTGCAGTCTCTCTGACACACACAGGATGTGACCCAGAGCATGGGCCACTGAAATGACCTCTCCCTGGGACAGTCAAACTGAACGGTGATCATTTTAGACTTGTTGGGGACACAACACCTCCTGTCCAGGCATATCCCACAGAAGGTGGGTCTGTAACTCTGAGTACTTGAGCATCCAGAAAAAACAAACTTTTCAGCTTTGGAGAGTTGGAAAGTGGGTTGACACGTTTTTCCTCTGGGGATCTGAAAAGATGAGTAAAGTAAAAAGTCATTCTTCGAATTTGCTTGCAATGACTTAACTTTATAACAGACACTAGATGAGTTATTTGGGGGGCACTAAGAGTAGTTGTTTGTGACATCTAGGGCCGTCTTCTTTGTAAAATACCCTTGCCCTACCATGCTATCAGGTTCTCTGTCTGGTGCTTCTCATTCCATCTTTTATTCGGGTCTACGATAAATGAAAACTTAGTTATTTTGTTACATTTCAGGAGCTATGTGGATCTCTGAGTTTAAGGCCAGCCTGGACTACATAGTGAGTTCCGGGGCAATATCTCCAAATAAATAAATAAGTAAAAAGGTAATTCTCTTGCTTTGATCAAGAAAGAGGACCAGCTATACAATTTTATGTCAGTTGTAGGATAACATGTCCTTTGGCAAGTTTACTCTAACATGCACAGAACATTCTGGTGTGTCCTCTAAGACAACCAATCATATGTAACCATGAACAGAACTTCTGTTTTCATAGTTATAGTGTAACAGCCGGAATTTTATGTTCCACTTCTATAGTTAGTATGAATAAGAAGGTTAGAGAAGCCCTGTCTCAAAAAAGCAAAAAAAACAGTATGGCCTTGAGCAGCCCAGCCTCTTGTAACACTCTTGTAACCCTCCTTCGGAGTAGATATCTGGGATTCTGTGTATCCCTGGCTGTTGTAGAACTCGCTCTGTAGACCAGGCTGGCCTCAACTCAGAGATCTGCCTGCCTCTGCCCCCCCAACCCCCTCCACCCCCCACCCCCCTCTGTGCTGGGATTAAAGGTGTATACCACCACCCAGCAAGACTCACATTAAACTGACAGAACACCTACAATCAACAGGTTAACATCACTGCTATGTAACGTTTTCCCTGCAGAGATGAGCTAGATCAACCCCTGCTGTCCTCAGATAATTTGACTTTAAGAGTCAGTCACAGTGGGGTGGTTTTGTTTGATGAGCTCCAAATACTATCCCGCCTTCCAGAATGTATACACATGTTTACTTTTCAGAAACATCTTAATGTTGAAGCACAGTTCAGTTAAATCTGGTTATACTTTACCTTCACTGCCTTTGATATATTGCTGTTGCAGGGCTGAATATAGCATAGCCTCTTCTCGCTTCTCATTTCACAGTTGCTGTTTTCATTGGTTACCCTATTAGAAATTCCCATCCCACACGTTCTGGAGCAGGGAGTCCACTTGGTTGCTTGCACAAGGCATTTTTTTTTCCACGTAAGCGGCAGGTTCCTGTAAGCTAACATAAATGGGGGAGTGCATATGTGTGCACATATGTACTTAACCTGGATTTAACTTTTAAACATAAAGTGGGTATCTAAAAGTTCTAAGGCTTTTTGCATGAAAGGATGAACGCTTATATTCTAAGTCATCCTCCCTTCCAGGTACCTAAGTTTCCTAGGGAATGAAGACTCTCATCTTCACCCGCTGGCATCATTCTGCCTCATCTATTCTCAAGTACCATACTGCTTCCGATCAGTGCCCATCTTTTGTTTGCTTTTGCCTGATATTTCCAGCAGATAACGAAGTAAACGTTGGCAGGATTAGGGAATTCAGATTAGTGTGTCTTTTCTTTCCTTGAGACTTTTTGCTGTGTAGTTCAGACTGCCTGCTAACTTGCAATCCTACCTTCCAAGTGTTAGGAATACAGGCACCATGCCTGTATCACCATGGCTGATGTAATAGTATGATCTTAGTATTTAAATTTCTTGATATGTTAAAAAACCTAAAATAAAGTCATATTTAAGAGTGAGACAATTAAATCAGTTCTCTTCCACTTTAAAACCTAGTCTTAGGAAATTTTACTCGGGGAGGCACACAGGCCTCGGTGTGCCTTTGGAGGTCAGGACCACTCTGTGTCATCCGGTCTGTCCTTTCCCCTTTATGATGAGCTCAAATTCAGGTCTCCAGGCTTGCACAGCAAGTCTCGCCTGTCTATCTTGGAAATTTATAACCAACTGAATTAATGCTATATTGCACTAAATGAGTTTAATATACTAAATATTGCAAATGTCTGTCTCATCCAGCTCCCTGTTGTCAGGCCCACTTAAAACCACTATGAAATACTTAGGGAAGCAATGCAGCTGTGGATGAAGGATGAGCGGGGAAAGGGAGCCCCTTCCACTGCCTGCTGCTTAGAAGAAACAGGAAAAAGATAATCCTTCCATAATAATTCTCCATGAAAAACATTAGGGAACTGTTACCGTACTCCAGTGAAACAGACCTCTTGGTCCGTAGAAAGTCAACAGGTTTGTGACTGATTTGAGCCCACGGTTAACAGCATAGTTCTACATGGAGAAAATCAACTTAAAGCTGGAAAAAAGGAAAAAAGACCCAACCACCTCAATAGACAGTATCAGTCACTTTGAACATGTGCTGTCTGATGAAAGTGACATCACGATGCTGCCTTCGTTGTAGCAGTGAGACCTTGTACTAGCACAGAAAGTGGGGACATAAAGATACCTGGAGGCAGACAACAGTTAAAGGCCTCAATGCAGGAAGCAGATTAGAAGCCGGGCAGATATCTGCAATAGATAAAGGTAGCTCAGATTATTGCATTGCTAATAACTCTGCTTACAGTTAAACCAAGGCCTGCAGCTCAGGAATTTGTTCAACATTCGTTAAAAAGCAAAGAAATTATGGGATTAATAAAAGCTTGGTGTCGGGAGGGATTCTGCCATTGCTTGCTTTGTACTGACCCAACAAAAGCTAGATTTCAATGATAGACCTCATTAGTTATTCTCTCCCATACATTTTAAAGGCATATGCTTTCACTGGCACTCGCCATGAAAGCCAAATTCCAGTGTGGTCATAAACACGTTTTGTTTTTGGTTTTTTTTTTTTTGGTTTTTTTTTTTACAAGTAAGCCAAGGAGAGTCACGGTGGACTTAACATACCTTTGAAATACTGAGACCTAAATTTCAAATACCAGAGTTAGGAGATTGTCTCACTTCCTCGTAGCTTACCATTTCAGAGTTCTTAGGAACATTAGTTATATCATGCTGTTAGCCGAGTGATCATGTAAACAACCTGGTAAATTGTCACAACTAGAGTCCCTAAAGATGTTTTGTTGTATTTTTAAATATCTAAAACTGATAACAACACAATGAAGGTGAGCCTAGAGGAACTCCTGTCTGGAGAATTCTCCAGCATGTAAGTAGGACATCATTTACACCTGCAGCCACCTACTGCTCACTGCCTCATGGCGAGCACTTGGGAGTCTTGCTTTGCATCCTGACGGAAACATAGTGGCCTGCTTTAAAGTAAGCAAGAAGACTGGAGCGCTGGTTTTGAAAATGCTGGGTTCAAAATATTATTTTTGCTAGTTTTGAAAATAATATTTTGAACCTCAAAATGTGTTAGTCCTCAAAAGAAAAAATAGTTTTTAAATCAACTTGCCACTTCTGCTAGACCATATACATAAAAAAACTTTGAGAATGCAGAAACTGGATGGTTGAACTTCTAAAGCCCACAATAGAATGAAAGGTTTTTAGGGTACATGTGAACAGTGTTTGTTCAGTTTTCCTAAGAAGGGGGTGGGGATAAACAGAGGTGTAAGATCTTAGAGGTTTCTTGATCTAGTAGGTTTTAAAAATCAGACTATGTTATCCTCAAAACATTAAGTTTTCTTTTCAGACACTTGGAATATACCTGCCTGAGGCCAACACTACATTGATACACTCACTGTAAATCTCTAGCCAGCAGCCAGTGAGTTCTTACTGCCTGTGGTGCATAAAAGGAATCAGGAAAGAACCACAGGAAGTCATCCATGAGAGCATCCCTGCTGAGCATCCCTGGCACTGCTCTGTAGCCTGCTGAGCGTCCCGGTTACAGTGTCCTGGGCTACAGTTTGGGGGATCACCTGGCACTGCTCTGTAGCCTGCTGAGCGCCCCGGTTGCAGTGGTCCCAGGCCACAGTTGGTTGAACCAGAACAATTGCTGCCAGCCAGCCTAGGTATGAAGAGGGGCGTGCATCCAATGGCACCACCCACACAGAGGCAGCTGAACAGCGGGTGGGGCTGAAACGCTTGGCCATTCTGATAATGGACCCTGTTGAACTCACATCCGACAGCCACAAGATCTGAAAAGAAAAAAGCAGCAGATTGTCAAAATAAACTGTCCAGCTTGGCTAGATAGACTTACTCCAGCTGTAGCTGCCTCTTAGCAATGTGGTTGGTTCTTAATTCCTTAAGCCACATTGGAATCTCCTTCACAGAGCATCTATAGAAAGGTTAAAATGGGGTGTTTGTATTTTTGTATAGGTTATTAACCCCAAATGGTCACATCCAAAAAAACCCAGAAGCTCTACTTGTAGTAAAAGCAGCTATTAAATGTCAACTGACAAAAGCCCGCATTAGCGAGACGCTCTAGTCCTGGAGGTTGCTAGGACTGTAGGAGAGCTCCAGACTTTAAAACAGAAGTCTGACAGTGGATGTTCTGCATCAGAAGTCAGCAAGTGTCCATAGAAGACTGACTGACTTAGTCATTCCAGGCCATGTGGTTTCTACACTGGTTTGCTCTGTGCAGCAGGCATTGATTGCAAATGTCTGAGCTGTGCCAAGTGAGGCACCAGTCACAGGCCAAGCTATGGTCTAGGTACAGCCCTGGGCAGTTGTTCAAATCTAGTTCTAGATTGCCCCCCCCACGCCCCACCCCACCTGCTGTTAAAGATCTCATGTTTCATGTCGTTGCACAATAAATAAAAGGCACAGAGAAGATACTGGGGTACAAGCTTCAAGCTGAAGATCAGAAAAGCAAAGCAACCAAGCCCCTGGATCTTACCTCTACCTCAGGCTGAAAGGGCTGATCCTGCCTCCATGAGCTCTCACCAAGCCTCAGCGTGGATGGAGAATCCTGAGACTGATCACTGAAGACCCTGCTCCTATCTTTTTATACCTCTGTAGTTCTGGCATTAAAGGTGTGAGCTCTGTTACTCTCTTAGACTGATTCACTCTCATGTAGCCCAGTGAGGCCTTGAACTCAGAGAGATACATCTGCCTCTGTCTCCTGAGTTCTGGGATTAAAGGTGTGTACCTGGCTTCTATGGCTAACTAGTATGGCTGCTTTGCTATTTTGATCTCCAGTGGCTTTAATAAATCACAAGCGATATATCACCACATTATGTGAAGCCACTGTGGAAAGACGCATCACAGCTAGTCAGAGAGAGAGGAAAGCCAAAAGTGAACTGCGTCTGCATCCTCACATTTTACATTCACGAGTTTTGCATGCTTCTGTTACATCCTGGCCAAAGTTCCCCTCCTCCCCTCCCAGCCTCCCTCCCCCCACCCACTCCTTCTTCTGAAGAGAGAAAAAGCATCCATGCATTTGAAAGAGGATTGCTCTCTCCTTGCAAGAAAGGCAGAATGCAGATTAATTTTAGACAGTATTAACGACAGCTGCCATTTTGAAGTCAGACCCTATATTCCATCATGAAAAGCAGCTACCTGAGCCAACCTTGGTGGTACACTTATCCCAGCACTCAAGGCAGAGGCAGGTGGGTCTCTGTGAGTTCTAGAGCAGCTTGGCCTCCAGAGTGAGTTCCAGGCCAGCCAGGGCTATGTAGAGAGATCCTGTCACCAAAACAACAACAACCAGCCACCTGAGAACTGCATGATAACTATAATGGGCTCCCAGATGCTTGTTTATGAATTTCATACGTCATCTATTACAATCGAGCCAGCCCACCGGTGCACGACTGCATCCATCTTGTGTTTAGCTAAACTAAATCCACACTGTGCAATGTGCCTCAGTTCAGCCTTCCCCAGTGGGCCCAGAAGACACTTACATGCACACACTCCCGTCTCGTACCTAGGCTTGTCAGCCGAGTAGTCACAGTATAACCCTCTGTGTGGGTCGCAGAGGTCAGCCTCATTGCACATGTCTCCTCGTTGCTTGGCACAGATTTTGCAGCATCCACAGCCATCCCTCACCAAGCTCACCCCAGGAGGACAACTGGGCTTCTGAGGAGGACATCTGCAGGGCCAGTGACAGACTTGTTTGCGCACTTGTGATGCTTCTGATGGCACAGTGTCCTGAGCCCTGCAGCATAGCTTCATTTGATGATAAAGATGATGTTAGAAAAGGTTCCCAAGACTACACACAGGGCCTTGAGTTACAATGCCAGCATCTGACAGTCCGGTTAGTTGCAGTGTCAGTATTTGATGTGGTCACTCCCTGACTGACTCCTCACTGGGTTTCCAAGACATCTCTCTTTCTCTTCCTCCCCCATACTGCTCCTAGGGCTCCTGAGCTGCTTGGTCATTCACCCCCACCCCCACCCCCAACCTCCCACCCCCACCCCCACCCCAGATCTGCTTGGATACGGTCTCCCTTCCCTCACTCCATCTCATTTCCCAACCAGCTCACTCATCTGAACTCACTAAAAGTGTCTGCTTAGCTGCCCCGCTTAGATGGTAAATGGGCCAGAGCAAACTTTCCAGTGTCCTCCGGTCATCTTTTCCACCTATACATTTCCCTATTTGAGCAAATGCCCATTGTATTTTTCCAAAAACACCTAGGGCCCTGGGTCATGCTGGACTTAACATTTTAACATCTAATCTCATTGACAAATCTTGTCAGTAACTCCTTTAAAATGTATCACCTCCACTATCCCTGGCTTCCACATCCTTTCTCCTACCACCATGATCCAATTTCACTTGGATGATTGGAAGAGCCTCCTATACAGCCACCTTTATTCAGCATCCGCAATGACTATTTACATCAGTGCCTCATGCTTCCGGGTGGAATCCTTTCCCTTGGTTTCCTTCACCTGACAACTGCAGCTCTCCCTGCCTGTTAGCCTCTGCTGGACTGTGCCTGAGACACACCAGCTGTCACTTTGACACATTGCTCATTTCTACATGCTACCACCTGGCAGTCTTGCTCCCAGCCCCATCTTCTGTCTTCTCCCTATGCTACGCACCTTCGACACTTAATCCCCAGGAGAGACTTCTCCACTGACCTGTAGGCCCACACAGCTGACTACCCAATGGACATGGATACTCAAATGTCCCTTAGGAAAAATGGGGATTCAAAATTCATCTTTCACCTAGACACAGTATTTGCAGTCATCAGGTCAAGCCCCTCTCTGTCACACCATAGCCATGCCATGGCTAACCCTGCTTATTGTGTTGTCCTCATGCTCCTAGGCCTAGTCTTTCTTATTTCACAGATATTAAAGTCAATCTATATGATTGTATTACTCCTTAAAGTCCCCCCCAGTGATTCCCACTATCTGCAGCCTATGGTGCAAACTTTTGAGCATGGGACCTTCAAGCCTTGTCTGACCTGGCCATGCCTATGTCTCAACAGTCTCCTTCTACGACCTGCTGTATACGAGACACGATGCCACGTTCTCCTCCCTGCTTCTCCTGTTGATCCCTGTTATGCTTTGAATTTGAAATGTCAACCACCAACTGTTTTGAAAAATTGGTCCTCAGGGAGGTTCTAAAAAATTTGGGAGATGGGAAGGTCTACTGAAGAAAAAATGCCACTGGAGAGTATGGCATCTTTATCCCTTTACCTCTGCCTGTTTCCCAACTGGCCTCCTGCTTCTTAGTCCACTATAATGTGAGCAGCCTCTGCTGTCATGATATGAACTGTTTTACCACCACGAAGGACAGATCCTCTGAAACCTGGAGTCAAAGAATTGTTTCTGCTAGGCATGTTGGCCATAGCAACGGAAAATAACTAATACACTCCCTTGTCTAATGTTCCAGCTCCAGACTGTCCACATGAGATGTTTATTTTCCCAGTCTTGAAATATTTTTAGTCCATCTCAGAAATTAAAAGGTAACACAGGGGGGAAAAATCCATGACTAAAAGGGAAATTCATGCTAGTAGCCCTAGAGAGGGAAACCCTGCATACAGAAGAGAGCTGATTCAGCAGAAGAAGCAAGAGGAAAGGGTGAAGGTGCCCAGAGAGGATGCTAAAAGAAAAAGCAACAACAACAAACTGTCAGCCTAGAATTCTGTGTCTAGTGAAATTAGCACAAACGGAAGCAATGGGGCTGGGGAGATGGCTCAATGGCCCATTTTTACTGCACACATGAGGACAGGAGTTCAGAGTGATGCAGAGTAGGCATCTGCACTCCCAACAAGACAGATGGGAGGAGATGACAGGACAGGCCCCAGAAGTAATGGGCCACCAGACCTATCTTTAGCATCAGTCAACAGGAGAACTGCCCCAACCAAGGTGGAGGGTGAGGATGGTCACCCAAAGTGACATACACACAAACATGAACAAAGACTTTTTTTAGTGAAGGTGGAATAAAAATTTCCAAATAAAACTGGAGTTTTATTTGTTTGTTTTTTGTGTGTTTTGGGGTGTAGGGATTTTTTGTTTGTTTTTGTTAGCAGACTCACCTCACACACACACACAAAAACAAGGAAATTATAATAAATTGTAATGCAAAAGCACAAAAAGTAGGATTCACAGAAAAAGAAAATATATTGAGAATATAAGGAATTTTACATATTGTTTTTTTAGACATTTGTTTCAAAAGCAAAGTCTTGGGACCATAAAAATGATGCATGAGAATGTTCTAAAAATAGATCTGAGACTTGGGCTAGATCTGTGATCTTAAATAATGTCCTATTATTTGGTTTTTGAGTAGCAATCCTCTGTGAAATGGGATTAATGCACACTTGTTTGAGAGTTAAGATGAGTAAGATATTGACTAAATGTCTAGCACAGGGTTTGGCATCAAACCGTTGGTTTTGTTTGACAGTGTGCCTTAGGAAAGCTTGGTTTGGGGTAGACACAGAAGAATCAGTCGCCCAGACTCGCTGACAGCCATTTAGAAACAGCAAGCTCCAGTTTCAGTGAGAAACCCTGGCTCAAGAAAATAAGGTGGAGAGTCACAGACAGACACTCGAAGCTGAAGTCTGACTACCACTCGGACACACATACACGGGCACCTGCATACCTGTGTGCACACACGTGTGCCACATGTACACACACAAGCCTGGTCACCGTTGTTCAGAAATGGATTCTGTCTCACGAGTATGATGACCTGGCCCATGGATCCACACATTCGTGGATTTTTCAGGTGAATGGACAACGAGCAGGGGGTACCTTACTGAACTGTGTCATTAGGGGTGTGTCACCACATCTTTTCTCCTGCCTCTTAGGTCTTTCTCTGCTTAAGACGGAAGCTGCCTCCTGTGTCACACGCTGCTGCCGTGTCGTGTCTCATCAGAGGCAGAGCCAGCCAACAACCAAGGACCAAAACCTCCGAAACTGAGAGCCAAAGCCAACCTCCCCTTCCTTCTGTTGTTTGTCTTAGGTATCTTATCCCAGTGAGCAAAAGGGGAAAAAAATCATTCAGGCAAAAATAAGCACAAAATTATATTTTCTGCCCTAAGCACGGTATCTTCTTATATTTGCACTTGTTTTCTGTTCTGTACATGTTTCCCTGTGCTGGAATAGTTACTGTTTAAGAACATCCCTTGGTTGACAATAACCACCTGCCTCCTCTCAGAATGTAGAACAGGATCGAGCAGGCTGCACAACTGCAGAAGAAATGTATTCCAACTGTGAGAGCCAGAGGAACCCCACCCCTGACAGACGTCCTCTTTTGGATTCCTTTCAAACCTTACATCCTTAAACAGAGCAACAACTTCCCTTCTTGTCTAAAATACCCCTGCTGCCCGGGCCAGAATCCGCTGTTAACTCCACACCCCTGCAAGTTTTCTAAGTGACCAGAAGAGGTCAGAGCCCTGGCCTCCGTGCCAGCAATGACCTTCACCATGTAAACAAATCAACAAACAAGTCACCCTGTCTTAATCATCTCATTAAAAACACCAAGGCAATGAATTTCTCATATTAAATTAAATTTCCTTTGATCTGCCCTCTGAAACATTTCGACTTTCCATGGACAGAGTCACAAAAAGTGAGAGGCTTAAGACAAATAACACATTTTTAAAAACTAAATGTTCCTTCCTAAATGCCCCTTTCAAACAAGGACAGGATTACCTGGGGGAGTGGGGAGATCATTGCCCAAAACCGTTTTTCCAGGGGCTGTTTGCACACTTCAAGCTGTGGAAAGATGAGCCCACCCGGAATACAGGGACAGTGTTTACGGCTGTGACTACTAGCACTACCCATCTGGGAGCTGCACTCTAAACAGATACAAGGTAACGTTTGTGGACTGTTCACACTTCACAAGCAAACCAGTACACCTCAAAGAGGAAATGTCGAGCATCTGTCCTGAACTAAAACAGAACTTTCTGGAAAGGAAAATGGCTCCCATTTCCCCCACGAAATCATTACCTGCATCTTTCCCCATCCCCATCTTGCCGTTTTACTTGGGGCCTGCAGAAGCACAGCTGAAGCCTGGGCGTAAAACAAAGACTTACCTGTGCCAATGCAGTAATGAGCAGAGCGCCAAAGAAGAGCCTGTGCATGCTGCCGGACCGTGGGAGGATGGAGAGGCGGAGGAGCAGGGCGCGTCCTTGCTTCGGGCACAAAGCTCTCCTGTGTCCTGCACAAGGAACCACGTCTCCACCTCCCGGGCTTCCGACTCCCAGGCTGCACTTTCGGTCTGAGGACCCATTCCAGTGCCCTGCTTACTTCATGTGACTTCTAGAAGCACCTTCGGTCTGCACAGTTAGTGTCACGAGAGGCCAGCTCCTTCCTGCAGGGATTCTGCAAGATCAAGCGGAGGTTTCTGCCTGAGGGAGAGGGCTGGTGGCCCGTTCTTGAGGTCAGAGCCTGTCTTCCAGGAGGTGGTGGCCTTAGACATAATCCCCTCCCTGCCCTTGGTCTCTGTGATTTCTCTCTGGGTGCTGGTCTGGTCCTGCCCCTTTAGGTGCCAACCCAAATTTCATGTTCTACCAACAACCGGTTCCAGAGGCTGTTTTCCTGCCCACTGTCTCCGAGCTGTCCACACCCCACCCCTGTCCTCTACTCCAACACGTGTCTCACCTCAGGGGAACAGTAACCAGTAAACCTGGATCGTGTGGGTGGACTCCCATAATGCATTGCCTAAGGTAGGCCCCTTTCTGCGGTCACAATTCCATGAAAGACAACAGAAAAGTTAACCCCAGATTTTTCCCAGCCTAGGACCAAGCATTCACATTCAAAGAAATGATAGGAATTTTTAAATGTATGGAGCCCAGCGGTGGTGGTTCACGACTTTAATCCCAGCACTTGGGAAGCAGTGGCAGGTAGCTCTTAGTGAGTCCAAGGCCAGCCTGGTCTATAAAATGAGTTCCTGGACAGCAAGAACTGTTACACAAAGAAACCCTGTCTCAAACAAAATGAAAACCTTATGGACCGTTACAAATTAATGTGTACATTTTTATGCTTTTATGTGTCAGTTAAAAGAATCTTTAAAAATCTAAAAAAAAGTTATTATGAATGTGTACCATTTCTCCTCACACATGCATCCCCACATGTGGCCACCAACCTGTCCCCTCCTGTGCTGTCACCAGGACCTCTGTTCTTTCTCTGTCAGAGTCTTGTCTTCCTGAGGACCCAGCAGGCAAAAACACCTTCCCACACCTCTTCATCTCCCTTTGGCTGTCACCTCTCCTCCGGTGTCCTGGTGCCTTTCTTACACTGAACTCTTCTTACTCACCTCTGTGAACATGAAAGTAGCACATTGCTAAGGGAGTTTGATGCTCCCACAGACCTTCAGTGCCACAGGCATGGACACAAACACAGACAGTCCACAGCTGTGTGCACACTGGACCACCCATGCAGCTGTGTACACACTGGACCACCCAGACCACACCCCATGCAGCTGTGTGCACACTGGACCACCCAGACCACACCCAATGCAGCTGTGTGCACACTGGACCATCCAGACCACACCCCATACAGCTGTGTGCATACTGGACCACCCAGACCACACCCAATGCAGCTGTGTGCACACTGGACCACCCAGACCACACCCCCATGCAGCTGTGTGCACACTGGACAGTCCAGACCACACCCCATACAGCTGTGTGCACACTGGACAGTCCAGACCACACCCCATACAGCTGTGTGCACACTGGACCACCCATGCAGCTGCAGCTCTGAGGCCTCCATCGGTTACTTTTCTCTTCGTGGTGAGATAATACTGACCGAGGCAACTTAAGGAAGAAGAGTTTATGCCGATCACAATTGAATGTGCAGTCCATCAAAGCAGCAAAGTCTTGATCACAATTGAATGTGCAGTCCATCAAGGCGGAGAAGCCATGGCAGAAGTGTGAGGCCACTGCCCACATTGCAGTCACAGTCCGGAAGCAGAGATGAAAGAGCTCATTTTGCTTCTCCTTTGTATCCAGCCCAGGACCCCAGTCCATGTGATGGTACTGCCTGTATTCAAGGCGGGTCTTCCCACCTTAGCCAATCACACACACACACACACACACACACACACACACACACACACACACACACACACAACCAGCCCAGGACCCCAGTCCATGTGATGGTACTGCCTGTATTCAAGGCGGGTCTTCCCACCTTAGCCAATCACACACACACACACACACACACACACACACACACCACACACACACACACACACACAACCAGCCCAGGACCCCAGTCCATGTGATGGTACTCCTGTATTCAAGGCGGGTCTTCCCACCTTAGCCAATCACACACACACACACACACACACACACACACACACACACCACACACACACACACAACCAGCCCAGGACCCCAGTCCATGTGATGGTACTCCTGTATTCAAGGCGGGTCTTCCCACCTTAGCCAATCCTTTCTTTAAAAAAACCACACACACACACACACACACACACACACACACACACACACCTCTACAGATCCAAGGAAGGACATGTTTCTTAGTTGATTCCAGAGCCAGTCAAGTTGATAATCAAGATTAGCCATCATTGGGGTATGCTGCTCCTGGAGAGTTGAAACAAAACTCTGGAAATTGTATCTACTTTGAGTACAGTCTAATCTTTCTCTTTTTATTGTCCTGGTTTAGTGATCACTTGGCATTTGGTTATGTGGTTTTTTTTTTTCATTGTTACCCTCCTCCCTTGCCCCCTTCAACCCCCAAGATGGTGTTTCTCTGTGTAGTTTTGTAGACAAGGCTGGCCTCGAACTCACAGAGATCTGCCTGCCTCTGTCTCCCAGGTGCTGGGACTAAAGGCGTGCACCACCACTGCCTGGATCACTTGGCATTTGGATCCCCAGGCACAATGGTTCTCGCCCCAAACTGGCCATCAGACTTGATAGTATTTTGTTCCCCAGATCATCAACTCCATCTCTCTGGCTCCAACTCCTCACTGTTTCAGATGTGAAACTCCATGTATCTACACTGTTTCAGATGTGAAACTCCATGCAGAGATCCACGCTGTTCCCATTTGCTCTCTGTAATAAGCTTGCAGCAGCAGCCACTTTTCTGGAAACGTCTTCCTTCACCCGTACTCTCACAGTTGTGGAGCAGAGAGGGTGTCATACTGTCTGTCCACCCCTGCCCTCAGTAGGAAAGGAAGACCTAGCTAGCAAAACCATCGGCTCTGGGTTACTCGAAGCCACCCACACTCAGACTTCTCCAGCCTTCACTGATGTTTTCCTCTGTCAGTCGTGACTGAGCGAACGTGTGAACTGGGTATTTTTAGAGGTGGGAACTGCTGTCACAGTCCTCTTCCAAGGACTTCCTACTATCATCCCATCTCTCTCCCGATCATCACAGTGCTCAGCCTGTGATGTCCCCTCAAACAGACACAGCCTAAGCATAATATGCGGAGCTCATTCATGACTTACAAGGACATTTCCCATGTATTGTCTCTTTTAATTTCACGGCTCAGTGAGGTGGACAAAAGCAGTATTACTGTCTTCATTTAACAGATTAAAAAGTTAAAGCTAAGTCATTGTGCTTGGTCAATAAAACACTCTTAATCCTTGCCCTCAAGAGCTATGCAGTCTACCAGCAGAGCAGGCCTTGAATAAATAAACACACAAAATATCCATCATTAAAAGTTGCATAAAGGCTAACAACAGAAGTGAAACTTAGGAAGAATGACGGGTAAGAGCTACTTTACATTGCAGTGTCTTCAAAAGGACGGAGATGACACCAGGTGAAGAGAGGATTTCTGCCTCAGTGCTCAGGCAGGCTGCGTGCCTCTCATGAGAGCCCCATCAGCAAAGGACGCATCCCACCACTCATCGTTCTGCTAAGGGTGTCGTCACGGGGAGTCTAATCCCTTCTCCAGGACTATTGCCTTCTTGGGCAGACAAAAGTCAGAACCCACACTCTTGGTCAGCAAGCTTCGTACAGCATGAGCTCCTCTCTTCATCCCTTCCTTTCCGATCTCTTTGGTTATAGAAAGGGTTGCAGATCACTAGGTCTGCGAGAGAGACAGCGATTGCTGTGTAGTAACCTGGGAAGGAGGTGCACCAGGAGGGAGGCTCCGTGATCCCCTCAGGGGAAGTAGACTGAATAATAATAGCAGCTAACATCTGATGAGCCTTCCTGGGTCTCCACGGGGCACTAACTGTTGGATACGAATCACTTGTTTTCACAGCCACGTTGTGACACAGATAGTACTACCATCCCCTTTGTCTCATTTACTGGGAAGCCAGGCAAGGTTGCATGGAGAGTAAAAGGTAGGGCCAGGGCCCCAGGCTGTCTGTCACTTTGTCATATCCCACAGCGTCACCACAGAGCCTATACATCCCATAGTGACCCATAGCGTGTTAATGCCTTGTATTTTCGGTATTTTTCTTTCTCTTGCTCTCCTCCTAGATTTCAAGAAGTCAGGGAGATTCTGTTTCCCACCAATTCATGCCCCAAACAGAAAGCAGAAGCCTCTGAAATGGTTTATTCTGTCACTTGAAGTGTCTTGATCCCAGTGAAGATGGTGTTGGGAGAAGAGGTGGCAGGGGAGGGATGACATTTGAGGCTTGGGTGAGGACAGGGTTCCTGGTGCCCAAGTTGCGAAGATCCCCGGAGGCCACCAGGGATACAGACCCAACTAACTGCAAAAGCAAGGTTTTATTGTTTATCCAACCATGACAGGGACCCCATCTGGCTAGCCAACACAGCAGCCCCCAGAGGGAGTGAAGTTCCCTGTCTACTGCTAGGTTTTTAAAGACAAAACTTATAGGATTACATCAGTAGGTACAGGTTGGTTGACATTTGGGAACAATTAGGAGAATTTCTCAAAGTAATATTTTGGCATGAAATTCCTGTGTACCAATTAGTCTCATCCGTCAGTGCTGAGAGGGAACATTCTGTGTTTTCTATGGCTTTGTCTCGTTACTTGCAGGTGGCCTGTTGTTCATAGATACCAATAGTTTTCAGAACTATATCCTGGAGACTACAGGGGAGGCTTTGGTCTCCTCCAGAGTTTCTTTTGTCTAAACAGTCCCCAGAAATCAAGCATCTAGGAGGCTGGGGGGTGGGGTCCTGGAGTTTCTTTGTGTTTAGTAACCTTTGAGTTTAGTTTATCCCTTTCACTCTGGCCCTCACCAGTGAGTGACCACAGGACAGGAGCAGGAGCCTGGTGGGACTTGGTTCAGTGAGGAAAATTCACTTGATCCCAGAGGTTCCAGCATCAGCAAACCTCCTTGGAGAAGTTTCCATGGATCTGTAGCCTCAAGAACCTATCTGCAGAGGTGGAAAATCCAGATGCAGTCAGAAAACTTGGGGAGTGAAGCTCAGAGGCCTGACCTCTTGTCAAGGTGCCTTCCGGAGCTCCTGCATTGCTGCTGTTCGGCGTCTACTAGTGGTGGAAGACGTCTATGTGGTGGTA